AGTATAGTACAAGACCTAGGTCAGGGTCCTGTGATATAACCGAAAAGGGATAGAGACGGGACAGGGTCCTGAGTCTAGGTCAGGGTCGGGCAATATAACCGAAAAGGGAAAGGGGCGTGACAAGGGTCGGGGTCTGGGTCAGGGTAAAGTAATGTAACTGAAAAGGGAAACGGTCAGGGTCGGACTCAGGGTCCGGTCATATAGACAAAAGGGGAGATATTGAGGGAGAGGACCGGGGCTAGGAACATAGTCGTCAGGGGGCGGAATGGGGGATGATAGTGTACAGGCGGAAGACGAGGGAACGGGAAGGTAAGCATAGGTCGCCGGGGACGGGAAGGGGAGTGGAGTGTACACGAGGGCGACGAGAAGGAGTAGTCCAATAACGAAAAGATAGGGGGTGGGGCGTACCAACGGTAACATTACCCCCGTTTCTAAGCACGATCGTCCCGATCGTTCAACTCCAAGTCCGGCTCCGTGAGTGGTGACGAAGGCACGGGTGGGTACCAGAGTCCGATGCGTAAGCCAGGGTTGTCCGGGCTGAAGTAGCCTCCAGCGACGAAGGTGATTGTGCGGGACGGTGACGGTGCGATGGGTGAGGAGGTGGCGGGGAGCGATGGTGAACGGGACGAAGGGTTAGCAGGGGCGGGGCGGACGGGGCGGAAAGGGTTGGCGTCAAAGGGGGCGTCATGGATTTCCCGGCATGATGGTGGATTTCGAAGTGAAACTGGCCTAGGAACGCACTCCATCGGGCCTGGCGTCGGGTGAGCTTCTGTGCGGACCGCCAGTAGGTGAGGTTCTTGTGGTCCGAGATGACCTGGATGACGTGAGGGGATCCTTCAAGGTAGTGCTGCCAGGTCTCGAAAGCGCGGACCACTGCGAGGAGCTCCTTGTCGTAGATCTGATAGTTGCGTTCCGCAGGTGAGAGGGCATGAGATAGGTACGCTACTGGCATCCAGTCTTGGTTGGCGTTCCGTTGGCAGAGGACGGCCCCGGTGGTGAACATAGAGGCGTCACATTCAATTTGGAAGGCCACGGAGGGGTCCGCCATGCAAAGAATGGGCTTCTGCTGGAACAGGTTGCGAAGTGTGTCGAAGGCAACCTGACATTCGGGCGTCCATTGAAAGGGTAGGTCTTTCCGGGTGAGTTGTGTCAGTGGTCGAGCAATCTTGCTGTAGTCACGGATGAAGCGTCGGTAGAAGTTGCAGAATCCGAGGAAGCTCTGGACTTGTTTGACGGTGGTGGGTACCGGCCAGGCGCGGATGCCGTCGAGCTTGACCGGGTCCATGCTGAGCGATCCTTCGCGAATGATGGTGCCTAGGAACTCGACCTCAGCAGCGTCGAACACGCACTTCTCGCGTTTGAGGAACAGGTCCATTTCGATGAGACGCTGCACGACCCGCTGCGTTCGACGGTGGTGGACGTCCTGTGTCTTGGAGTGTATCAGAATGTCGTCCATGTAGATGACGAGCCATCCCTCCGCAATCATGTCCTTGTAACCATCGTTCATCATCGCCTGGAATGTCACCGGAGCGTTGCATAATCCGAAGAACATTACGGTCGGCTCGTAGAGGCCGAGGGGGGTCTTGAAGGCCGCCTTCCACTGATCACCGTCTTTGATGCGGACATTGTTGTAACCGGCTCGGACGTCCAACTTCGTGAAGTACTTGGCCCCTTGCAACTGGTCGATGAGATCGTTGATCAGGGGGAGGGGGTAGACGTTCTTGATCGTGCCGGAATTGAGGTAGCGGTAGTCCTGGACGGGTCGTATGGAACCATCCTTCTTGTCCACGAAGAAGAAAGGGGATGCCATTGGTGAGGTGGATGGGTGGATGTACCCCTTGGCTAGGTTCTCGTCGATGAACTTCCGAAGTTCCTGCATCTTGAGCGGAGACAGGGGGTACAGCTTGCAGTCCCGAGGTTTGAAGTCAGGTCGGAGCTCGATGGGGTGATCCCAGGCCTGGGGCTTGGGCATTCGTTCGGCCGCCTTCTTCTCAAACACCTGGTGATAGGTTTTGAGGTAGTCTGGGATGGCGACGGTAGCCTTGACGTCGGCTGCTTTCGACCCGGCTTCGACAGCCAGTTGGGTCGACACGGTGGTGCGAGCGATGGGGGTGTCTCCAATGATGAGTCGTTGGATGGTGGCAGATGGGTTCCATTCGGGATGGATGTCTCCGTGAAGGAAAGCGGTAAGGTATCGGCGGGGATTCCCTGAGGGGCGCTGATGGTATTCCTAAAGTCGCTGTTCCGCCCGTAGGTATTTGGCGTCGAACCGGACCTTGCCTTGTACCCAGTCGATGTGGGGGTTGTACTGGATGAGCCATGGCATTTCGAGAATGATGTCGTCCCGTCCGCAGTCCGCGACGTAGAGTTCGGTGGGGAACTCGTGGCTGTTAATTCGGAAGTGGCCTACGAATTTGTGGGTGACTGGTCCGGCCGTGTTGGCGGTGCCATCGACATTGGTGAAACGAAGGGGAGAGGGTAGGGTGGTGAGAGGGAGTTTGTGCCTCTTCGCGAAATTCCGGTTAAGGAGAGAGGCGCTTGCTCCGCAATCGATGAACGCATGAGCTCCAACACTTGTAGACTCGTACTCAATGCTGCCCGGGATAAGAATAGATTGACGTCGTCGTTCTGTAGTGGCAACAAACGAGATACTAATACAGTCAGAGGGCAGTTCTTCTGTCGGCGAAGACTGCCCGTTCAAAAACCCTCATCCGAATCGCCTACGTCGACCTGACTGATCGTTTTGTCAGGTGTGGCTTCGCCATTGTCTTCATCGTCAGCGACCTCGCCATCCTCTAGTTCATCGACCTTGCGCACCTTCCGCTTCTTCTGTCCAGGCTGTCGTCCCTTAGCACGATTGTCCGCCTTCTTCTTAAGGCAGTCACGTGCGATGTGACCAGTCTTGTGGCAGTAGAAGCATTGCTTCTTCTCTCTGTCTTCCTTCATGGCTGGAGCGTCGACTCGTCGTATGGAGTTAGTACGAGCGGACTGTCCCTTTGTGCCTTGACCCTGCCGGTCGTTGCGAGAGCGTCCCTCGAGTTGGCGCAGGTGTCGTTCCTCGTAGTTGGAGTGTTCGATCTCCAACACCCGTGCTGCCCACTCATTAACGGTGGTGGGGATGGGGTACGTGAGGCGAACCCGTCGTCGCATGCTTTCTGGGAGACGCTCCTTATAAAAGGACAGCTGAGCACTGTCTTCGAGTATACCGGCGAGGGCGCAGAGGCGGAAGAATTCCGCATTGAAGGTGTCTGGTGCGGCAGGTCGATAGTCGAGGTGGTACAGCTTGGAGGCGGCCGTAGCGGCTTCCTCGATGGGCTGGAAGGTCTGTTGTAAGACCGTCTCGAATGCATTCCAGGTGTTCCAGCCGTTTTGTCGGGCCTGAGCGATGTATCCGTCCTTCCAGGTGATCACCTTCGGTCCGTCCATGAACGTTAGAGCGGTGACGATGCGGCTCTGGTCGGTGGCGTAGTCGGCTGGGCGTGCTTCAAAGAACAGGAAGAGTTCATTGAGGAAGGTGCGTAGATTGTCGCGGTCTCCGTCAAAAACATTGGGTGCGCGGACTTTGGTTCGTCCAGCGACGATGCCTGGTGCGTTAAGAGGAGCCACAGGTGGTGGTCCGCCGGGTCCCTGAGGAGGTCCGCCACCCGGAGGGGGTCTGCCGCCGTGGGGAGGTCCACCGCCTTGCGGAGGTCCGCCAGGTCCTTGAGGCAAACCAGAGGGTGTAGGTGGCCGACCAGGCGGTGCAGCAGTAGTAGGTGGTATCACAGGTGGTGCTGTCGGGACTCCACTGCTGGCGTAGTGAGTGGTTTGACCGGGTTGGGCCCCGGTCGCCTGGCGTAGCGAGGAGATGCTGTCTTGGGGAGTGAACAAGTTTCTGAGTTGGAAACTGGGGAGGCTAGAACGGGGTGGTACTGCGGACATAGTGGCGTCTACGAGTTCTGTTGTCGTATCCGCGTCGCTGTCTGGTTCGTCCGGGTGTGCGTGGAGGAGACCGCGGAGAGGGGTGACGGTTTCTTCGTCGTCTCGAGGAGCGGGGCTGTCTTCCGACAGGGGTGTAGCCTCGGTGGGCTCGTTCGCTACGTCTGGTAGGGAACTAGTGCGATGGGTAGCAGGGCTACGCGGACATCTGTAAAAACCACCTTTGCGAATTACACCTATTCAGTACAAATTAGCTCTTGATAGACACAGTAGTTGAATAGTGAAAAATAGTGCAAAATCGAGAGGTCCCCAAAAATAATTGCACTATTTTGCACTATTAATGCAAATTCGTGCAAAGTAGCACTATAGTAGACGGAAATAGTGCTACAGTAGACGTTGATAGTAGTGGATAGAGTGGGTCCATAATTTCTGAATAGTGTAGAAATGCTTAATATGACCTCAAAACCATCTGTTTATAAGCCCCAGATGCATTTAAAGTGCTGGAAAAAATATTATAAAAAAGTGTCCTCACCCAGTCTTGAACCCCCAACCCCACTTTCAGATAGTACTA